TTATATCACAAATTTTTATGGGAAATCATGAAAATCAAGGTCAATTTCTTTGTCTTTTACCATTTCCTATTTTGATGGCTTTTTTTAATGTGGCAAATTGAAGCGGTTGCAACTATTTGCAGTCATCTCACCTTTATCATTCCTCTAATTTCATGTTGACTTTGGCCACTACTCAAACTTGTTAATGTTCTGACTGCGCAAAGATAGCTCAGTCTGAAAGAATAGCTATATTCACCTCTTAAAATTGATGAGTAATACCACTTAAAATTTCAACCAGTGTCCAATCACTTCCTCATCATCTTACTTATGCCTGCTTTTCCAAATACTTTTAGGCAAGACAAAACAGTAACTTTCAATCCATGTTATGGTTTTTCTATTGTACATTGGCAAAGCATAAGCACGGGCAGATTGTACCACGTTGGAAAAGCACAGGAAAGCAGCAAGTATAGTATTAAGCATAGCCTACTGTCTGAAGACCAGCTCAGCTAAGTACAGAGATGCAGCATCAGAAGGTTGACCACCAGATGATGAATTCTGGGATCTTGGAAAGCTATGAAACAAATAAAAATAAAAAATGACCCAAGTCTTTGTGTGGCTTTTTTCTACTACTATAATCAGAGGGATGAGTGCTAGAAAAGCCAACTGACAGAGTGTGTTAAAAATAACCTGTTTTTTTAAAAAATAACGTGTATAAAGATCAATTTATCTGTTGACACTTCCAATGTAAGATCCTTTTCCAATTATCAAATTCACATGTCCCTGAGAGAACTGACCTGTATCACTATTAATATTCTTACTATAAACACAACCAAAAGACTTAAGAAAGTTGCATATATATGAATAGGTAGCTCACAGATTCTCCTTGGAGTACCCAGGAGTTGGTTTTATCAAGTGCCCAAAGGTAACAAGAAACACTTCATAGGACATTTGGTCATCTCACCTTGCAGTGCTTGTGACCAGCTTAAGCAAAATAAAGTATCATTAGGGTAACTACAGCTATTGGAGATAAAAGAGTGGTTATGTTACAAAAACTCAAAGTGGACTATCATGGAAAGAATGAATATGGATTTTGGATTTTGAAGTGTTCTGACAGTGCTAACAACTTAGCATCCTTACCACAGTGGAAAAAGGAAGGAGAAAGTGTTACAGTCAGATGGTGGGGATGAAAGAGTGAAGAAAGTATGTATTGATAGTCACTCCAATAAGCGACGAACAATGAGTTCTGCTCCTTAAATCTGACCTGTTGTCTATCCTAGCAAGAATGGCATACTTTCTGCTTAAAGAATGGAAAATATTTTTTCTTGTTTTTTTTTCCTTTAAAATGACATGAATACACAATTAATAGAGTCAAGAATGTTAGAACTAGAACAAAGCACTTCGGGGCAGCTAGGTGGTAAAGTGGATGGAGCACCGGCCCTGAAGTCAGGAGAGCCTGAGTTCAAATCCACCCTCAGAACAAACACTTGACACGTACTAGCTGTGTGACCTTGGGCAAGTCACTTAACCCCAACTGCCTCACCCAAAATTAAAAAATAAATTAAATAAATATAAAACAAAAAAAAGAACAATGCACTTCCACTTTGGGTTTACTAGAGAATATGCTGGAACACACTCTCTTTGCAGCATAACCTCTATTTACTACTTTTTTGGACTGTACTTAATATTTCATGGGCAGAGATGAAATTAGTCTGCGAGTTCCTTGAGAGCAGTTACTGATTTCTGCCTTTCGTTGTATCTCCAGTGGTTAGCACAGTGCCTGGCACACAGCAGATGCTTAATAAATGTTTGCAGATTTGACTTGAGCACTCCCAATGAGGAACAAGGTGATGTTGATTTGATTTTCAATCTGAAGAAAGGGGGTTGGAGGAGTGGGGGTAATGGTGGGGTTTGGTGGTGGAGTGATCACAACAGCAACAAAGTAGATGTCCAATCCCTGGGTTCTGCCTGACAGTTAAGGGAAAGTTACAGAGAGTGAAGAATGTTTAAGGCACTCACTCGAAGCCAGGCTAGCTCTGCCTCAGGACTTACTCTAATGGTGAGTGTATTATCTCCCCACATAAGTTCTTCCAGATAATTCTTAAGTTAGGCTTAAGAATGTCTCATCTCATGAAAAGGCTTCCCTCTTTGTTTCTTTGTTTTTTCTAGGGGGGACATAGAGGTAGGGTACTGGATATGGGTATGGAGCACTGTAGGTAATAGCAGATTTTTTCAATATTTGTGTTTCTACATTGTTTTTTCCCCCCTCTTTTTTATTATAAAAGATGTCTCTCTAGAGAAGAGAGAGGAGTAGATTGGGAAATGCAGGTATTGTAAAATATCAATAAAAAGTAATTTAAAAATATCTACTCACAACAGAAATTTTTAAAAATCTCTAGTTTTAGTTAAAGCTTTGTCTTTGAACTGTTTTCTCTTTGTGTGGCATTAAATTTATGAATCCCCTACAGTTTCATGTAAGCTTTTACTGTAAATTTGTATGGTCATTGGTTGTTGTTAAAAATTCAATGCAGGGATCAGGCATAAGGATGACTATTACAGATCACTATTTTGCTTCAAAACAGATGTGCCAAATCCATCAAGGAAAGGCACAGGACAAGTCAAACAAGGTCTATTAGTAATATTTTCTGCAAAAGGCATACTCCACATGATTTTCCGGCTAAAGAAAACATGTTCCAGTAGATGGCGCTCGACCGCTAAGTAAAGTGTTAAGGATTTTTTGGTATAATAGAAACATTACCTAAAGGAAAACACAAAACTCTAAGAAGCATTGTTCTATCGTTGGAGAAAATTGAATGGCATGTACTTCGTTCCCCCATTATAAAAACGTCACCAGAATTTTTTCTTTATTTGCTGCAATATATCACTGAAAGTTTTCAAGCATTGCACCTTGATGCTATTTATTTCATTTGCAATCTTACCACTTACTAAACTCTAATTTTTCCTACCATTTTATGGTATTCTGAAATCAGAGAAACCTATTAGGTTAAAAAGATGATAAGACATATCCAGCATAGCGTTCGTTGCCTCCTATTCTCCACCCCCTGGTTTCCATGAAGCTCCAGTTAAAATCCCCCCCTCAACAGGAAGTCTTTCCCAATTCCCCTGAATTCTAATGCCTTCCTTCTGCTGATTATTTCCAACAATTCTGTTTATATATAGTCTGTACATAGTTATTAGCACGTTCTTTCCTCCATTAGATTGTGAGTTCCTCACTAGCACAAGAGCAGGGGCAGTCTTTTACCTTTTTTTTTTTTTTAAATTCCCAGTACAATGCATAGCAAATAGCAGGCATAATGTTTACTGACCAACCACTTTCACTATAATCTTGTTACTACAAAATACACAAAAGCCACCATAGCACAGCAAAATCTTGCAGAAAGAGTACTTGCCCCATTATCCCTTTTTTTGACACTTCCTGTGGCATTAACTTTTTCCTGTGATATTTCACCTAACATTGCAGGTGTTTTCCTTTACTTTCTCTTCAGGTACTATAAAGCCTGTGTTTCACCCCACATAAAATGAAGAATGGTCATGAAGGACTTAGAATATTCTATAAGCAATTAATAGAGTTTCCCTTCCCCCCTTCCCTCACTTTTCTCTGAGCAGTCCTTCTCTCAAGGATTTATATAGTATTCCAGACTCATTGCACCAACAATCCTGTGACACTGTGTTCCAAAGAACCAAATCAATAATGGTAAGCAGGGTAAGCCTACAGTTCAATTCATAGGTCCACGAGTGTTTACCATGAATGAGAAGCATGAATGCCTATCACACTGCAGGCTCATAATGGGCCTATGAACTATTAGAATGTCTACATCTTTTTTACTTTCCCTTTTCTACTGCCCCCCATCTCTGAAAAGATCTTAGGCATCAACTAAATCTAAGCTTTAAGTAAATCTGGCCTGGAAATGCCAGAGTTGTGACATAAGGAGGCAAAGAATATGAGAAAAGGTATCTGATCTTACATTTCTCCCAACTGCCTATAATTAAAATTTCATCCTTCCTTTTTCCCCTCTGCCTGCCCCAAACCTCTAAGACTATCTCGAATTTATCCTGTATATATCTTGTTTGTACATAATTGTTTGCGTGTTGTTTCCACTCCAATATCTTTGCCAAGAAGACACCAAATGGGGTCACAAAGAGTTGGACACAACCGAAAAATGACTGAACACCACCACCTCTTGCTTTCCCAACGTGGATGGCCAGATTTGCCCCCTACTTCATACAGATAAGGGAGCAATTATCTGTATGCAGAGATGATGCTAAAATACAAAATATACATTTGACAGTGAAACTCTAAAATCAGAGGAGTTGCTGCCATAAACCTGCTAGCAGTTTGGATTTTGTCATAAAAATGCCATTATTCTCTTTAAAGGATACTATATTGACAGTCTAATGCCATTTCCCCAAACTGTGTTCCACGAAATCTTGATGTTCTACCTGACCAAAAATGGGTTTTGTGAGAACATTTTGATGTTATTAAATATTTTCTATCTAAAATATTAAATATGAAGTTACATAAGTAACAAAAATATTACATGCAACATTGTGTTAGTGGGTAAATGGTCTTCGTTTCCCTTCTGGTGTTTCACAATTTCTTTGAACTCTGCCCTTTATATCTCTAGAGGTATGGAATACACCTACACCAAGATCACAGACTTTAAAAAATTACAGATTTAGAGCTGGAAAGAGTCTTAAAGGACATGAATTAAGACTTCTATCAGTATGTTTCAAGCCCTGAAGTGTTCCACGGCCAATATCTAAGAAATTATTTATCCATGTATACTAACATTGTGTTCTTACCTCTATTATTAACAACAATTAAAACATTAGGAATTGATTTCCTTTAGGCATGTCAAAAGTCTTAATGATGAAAACCAGTGAAGTGAGTTTAACTTGCTGAAATCTTGAATACCAGCATATACATACAGTGTTACATTCACAGCTATCAAGAAAACATGATTATTATTAAATAGAGAATTCAGCAACAATATGAACTTTACCTCATTCACAGAAGAAAGTGGAAGGTTAGCCCTGGATGGCTGTTTGGTCCTAGGTGCTTTTAGAGGTCTCTTGGTTTGCTGAACTTCTACTTTTCCAGTTGGTATAGAAGAATATTGCCTCTTTACTGTTTTCATAGGCCACTTAGTATACAATAGACTTAGTTCGTGGCTCATTTTTCTGGAAGTACTAAAAGATTTCAGGGATAGAACATTCATTTTTTCACCTCTGCAGAACACGGTCTTCAACTGAGATATTATGTTTGCAGCTGACACGTTCCAGGTGATGTGTCCAGGAAATGAACATTTCAAGCCACCAGCTACTGTTTCAGAACAGCATAAACCCAAGTTTTGATTTATTGTCAGCGTCTTGCATGTTCTCTTTTCAAATTCCTTTATGGGTTTTAGTGCTGGACGAAGAACTCTAGGGAGACTTTGGCACTGGCATATTTTTGCTAAAATGCAGGGAGATTTGGCCAGGCCTTGAAGTAGTTTCACTTGCATCACTACACTCAAAACCAAATAAAACAAAATGTCAGAGCTTAACATTTAACAGTCAACAAGCATTTATTAACAAGGGTAAAAACCCTCTCCCTGCACTCAAGAAATTCATATTCTAGTTGGGGAGACAACTGTCTAGGGACATACAAGATAAATATAGTGTAACAAGCTCCGAAGGAAATGGTTTTTTTTTTGAGATAAGTAAAATTCTGAAGGCATAACAGAGCACTTAAGGGGAATCCAAAAGATACATCTGTGAGCTCAAATGTGTTACTTTAAGTATTCAAGCAAACAATATCTATTAAATATCAACTATGTAACAGGAACTGTGATAGGACCTGAGGACACAAGAACAAAAATGAAACAGTTCCTGCCCTAAATAAGTTATCATTCTATCTTCACTTAAGATAGCAGGCCAAGCCCTCAATTAGGTTCCAGGTTCAAAATACAATAAAGATTTTTGGAACATAAAACACGATTAAAACCAGCTTTTAAAAAGTACAAATTAAAAATATCAATCAAAAAGGACAAGAGGTCATTACTTGACCTCTCCTAAACAATCAACACTGCACCAAACAATTCTTGGAAAGCTTTTGCCTAAAGGGCAGCTAGTAAGGAAGGTGAAGCATCTGCTTAACCATTTTATGGGCTGGGACTCACATCACAGAGGGTGAGGAAGGAAAATGGCCTCAATGCATCTTTAAAAGAACAGCCCAGGAAGAGATGATACCCTTCCCAAAATACCAAACAGGTACCACCTCTTACCTCATCCTGCCCCCTGGTGGTGGGGTCCCTACAATTTCCTAGGTGAACTTTCACCTCTCAAATATTCTTAAAACCACCCCAGCATAAGTAGCACTGGAGCACCACAAACCAAAGTATAATAAATCTTCTCATAACAATGGAGGGGAGTGATGTCCTCTACAGATAAAACACTTGTGATGACCAGAAACATCCGGGTCAACAGATCAGGTGAGGACCCCTATCAGGCTGTCTCTGGTCCCTACAATACATCTGGATCATCTGAATTAAAACAGCTAAGAGTTCACAGCCTCTTGCATTCGACTTTTCCTGGGATCTAAAGTGACGCCAGGATTCACCTTGTACTGCTATACTTGTACTTCAGTGTTCCCTGAACCATCAGTCAAAACAGAAGATGTAACGGGGAAGAGCTAGAAAGAGTCAAGCACGACTATACCCAAAAGTGGTCTTGTTCAGGTAAATTCTCCTGAAAACTAGATCCAAGAAACTGCTGAATGGAGATCCCTCCCCCTTTCTTGGGCATAGTACTGATTTATTAAAGCCAAAGCGTCTACAAGATAGCTCAGTCAACTTCAATAATCTGGGGTGTTGTGATGAAAAGCTGTTGTTAGAAGTAATTTGGTTGTTCCATGCAAGATATCAGCTGCCTGGAGATGGTATGGAAGATGAGAAACAGCAAATGTGAAGGCAATGTGCTCCTTCATAGTAAAATGGGTATCCTGAGCAGAGGCAATGGCAGAAGGGAGCCCAGAGGGAGAGAGGGAATAAGCATTTCTATGGTGCCTACCACATGCCAGGCAGTGTGCTAAGTGCTTTACAAATATTTGATACAACAGCTTTGCAAGGTGGGTGCTCTTACTATCTTCATTTTACAGCTGAGGAAACAGAAATTAAATGCCTTGCCTGGGGTCTCATAGCCAGTAAGTGTCTGGGGCTAGATTTCAACTCAGGTCTTCCTGTAACTAAGTCCAGTGCTCTATCCAATGCAACATCTAGCTCTCATATGGAAGAAGGATGTATTCTTAAAGGGCCGTGACTGGCTGCCTCAGTAAGAGACTTAACTGGCACTACAAGCTAATATCCTGAATAAGTATTAACTGCAGTCTTGTCCTGCTGTGGGGGAGGAGAACCAGCAAAATCAATTTGTCAGCTATAGGTATGTAGAAAACCACAGGGGTCAGGCCAGACTGATCCTTTAGAGTTATATACTGTGCAAGAAGAAGCATATTTCTACCATACACTAATCTGCTGCCTCCCACAACTCCTCTCTTTGGTGATTGGTTGAAGTTAGTTGGGTTTTAAAATGTTATGGTGAACTTTGTTTGCAATGTACTAAGAAATATTGTGCAAGATGTTGTCTGATGTTACGCAAGAGCATGCAGGATGCGCACATATCAACCATGAAATCCTCTGGCTTGTTTCCATAACATAAAAATTTTAAAAGTTACCTGAAAAAAACCTACATTATGGTTTGTTTGACAAGCAGCAAGACTACAAATTTGCCTCCAGGGCTTAATGTTTCCACACACAGTCCTCAAAGTATATAGCCATCTCAAGAAAAGTCACAAGCATGCTAGTGAAGCCTACCACATTATCTGAGCAGTTACTAACTTGCTCAGATACTCTGCTCAAGCAACTGGCCAATTTTCGATAATTCCTCTTTTGACCTGCCTTTTTAGACTCTCATGACTGACTCTCGGGCCCATTTTCAGAACTTGCAGCAACCCTGTCTCTCATGCAGGCATACACAAAAATTTGAGAGAAAGAAAGGCCCTTAGAGGGGCAGCCAGGTGGTGAGGGGATAGAGCATGGGCCCTGGAGTCAGGAGGACTTGAGTTCAAATGTGACCTCAGACACTTGACACACTAGCTGTGACTCTGGGCAAGTCACTTAACCCCACTGCCTAGTCCAAAAAAAAAAAAAAAAGAGAAAAAAAAAAAGGCCCTTAGAGATAATCTGTCTTTCCAAGAGTTACAAAACATCCTTGGTTTTATCACAAGCCAGAATGTTTTCAGCAAATAGGAAAGTTTAAATACATAAACAGAAAATGGTAAAATAAGAACTCTTACGGCTCTGTCCTTCATCTTTGTTCCAGTCTTTATACCTTTTCCCTTTAGTGATCTCAATAACATCAAAGGGTTCAAATGTTTCTATGTAGATGACTCCCAATTGTATCAATTATACACAGACACACACAGATATGATATTCCAAAACTCTTAGTGCAGTTTTAAGCAACTAAAGCTTAAAATTACACTAAGACTTTTTTGGGACAGCTTATACGTACACTTGAATAAATGTATACATACACACTTATCCAACCCCAAATGGTTTTACTCACTCATATAATCTTTTGTCTCCAGAATTAAGGAAGGCCTCCTTTAACTTCAAATTCTGTGATCCTACTCTCTCAATTCTGAATTCCAGTCTTGAATCTCCAACTGCCTGCTGGACTTTTCACAGGATATCCCACTGACATCTCCACCTACACAGTACAGTAGAAAGTGTGCTAAAGTTTAGAGACCTGAGTGTGAATCTTGGCTCTCCTATTTAATGCCCAAGTGACCTCTGGTAAGTCACTTAAATTCTCTTGGATTGAATTTCCCTACTGTACAACTACAGGAATGGAGTAAATGGTTTCTGAGGTCCCTTTCAGCTCTAAATCTATGATCATATGTCTAAAGCTACCCACATCTCTTCCAAATTTGGTTATTTGTGTGATGGCAACATTATCCTTCCAATCACTCGTTTGAAATCTGAATTTATCCTTGACTCTTCTCTTTCTCTCACACCCCTCCTCCTCCTCACATCCAATTAGTTGGCAAGCCTTGTTGATTTATCTCTACAAAACCTTTACCACGTTCCCTGTGCTCCTATCTAATTGAGGTGCTTCCTCATCACTTATCAAATGGATTACGGCAACATGCTCCTGGTCTCTTCCCTCTCCAATCTATTCTCTTGACAGCTGCCAAATTAATATGCTTAAAACACAGGTCCTACTCTGTCAATAGGCAGAAAACCTCCATGACTTTTTCTCCCTCTAGGATTAAGAAAAATCCAAACTTTCCATGCTGACATTTAAGTCTTCCATGGTCTAGCTCTTACTTACCTTTCCAGTATTTTATATTACTCAATTTCATTCAGGGTATACTTCAGCCTTTTAGCAGAGCTGTTCCCTAGACTCAACTTTCCATCTATTCTTTCTGTGCATTTGCCCAGGCTGTCCTCCTATACTGGGAGTGATGCCCCTCCTCACCTCTGCCTCTTAGAATCTTGGCTTCTTTCAATTTCAGCTCTTGTGCTACCTTCAATACTACTTCTTTTCTGATTCCAGCCTCCCCTCATTCCCACTCCCCCACCCCCAACCATCTGGCATTTACTTATCTGTGCATGTTATAACCAATCTATCAGCAGAAATACAGGTTCCTTGAGAACACAGAATGTTTGATTTTTTAAGTTCCTACAGGACCTTTCACATAAACTTAATGTTTGTAGAGATGAAAAATTAGTGCACGTGCTAAGAGCGAGATTCTAGAACAATGTTTGTTAAAAATTAATTTAATTTAATGTTCTGTTTTTGGATGCCTGGTTTGTTTTCATGATTTTTTTTTTTATTAGAGCTATGGACCTCAAAAGCTGAAAGAGCACCAGGCAGGTCCTTTTACCCAGGATATTATAAGCTTTATTCTTTAAGGTGATATCACTTACACTCAGACTTTCTTGTATTATTGCATTAGTGAAAAGAGAGATGGATTTGGCATCTTAAAAAGAGCACAAAACTTGGAATGAGGACTTTTGAGTTCAAATCCTTCTTTTGCTATATGCTTAACCCGCATAATTTTGGGCTAGTCCCTGGACAACTTTGGGTCTCAAGTTTCCTTATCTGTAAATGAGGGGGTTAAGGCTGACTGATCTCTAAGGCAGTGGGGTCCTTAACTGGTGGTGGGGCATGGATAGCTTTCAAGGGATTTCTGAATCTTGGTAGGAAAAAATACATCTTTATTTACTAGCTGTTCAATGGAGTTGAGCATTTGCTTCAATTATGAATTTTTAAAAAATATTCTGAGAAGGGGTTTGAAGATTTCACTAGGCTGACAAAGGGTTCCCTTACATAACAGCTAGAATTTACATAGTGTTAGCAAGTTTTGCAAAATTTTTTCCAAATGTTACCTCATTTTATCCTTGCAATCTTGGGAGTTAGGGGTGCTATTATCCCCATTTTAGATCTGAGGAAACTGAGATAGACAGTGGTTAATTGATTTTGCTCAGGGACACACAGCTAGTGAGTGTCTGAGACTGGCTTTGAACTCTGGGTCTAAGGTTGCACCCACTTCAATACCTGGCTGAATTTAAAATAAAAGAGATCCCCCTACTCTAAGGAGAGAGGCAGTGCATGGAATACGGGGCCTGGAGTCTGGAACTCATCTTTCTGAGTACAAATCCAGCCTCAGACACTTACTAACTTTGTGACCCTGGGCAAGTCACTTAACCCTGTCTGCCTCAGTTTCCTCATCTGTAAGATGGACTGGAGATGAAAATGGCAAACCACTCCAGTATCTCTGCCAAGAAAACCCAAATGGGGTCACCAAGAGTCGACACGATTGAAACGACTAAACAACAACACTCTAAGGTGATGGTCCTACGACGCAAGTTTGAATCCCACCTCTTCATTCACTGGATGACCCTCCGAAAGTCACTTCACTTCTCAGAACCTCAGCTTCATCTGAAGGATGAAGGTTTGTGTGGACTAGACGACCTTCCAGGTCTCCCCCAGGGCCCCATCTCTTACCTCCCCAAGCAGATCTGTTTTATCTTTTTATCCCGGGGGACTTCGGGCACAGTGGAAGCCTTCAACCATTTGTAGAATGAAGCAGGTCAGCGGAGGAGGGGGAGGCAACGTGACCCAGGAGGCGGGGAGAGAGAGGCCGCCACCCTCCCAGGAGAAGGGAGGGGCAGGCCGGGGCTCGGCTGTCACTGACCTCGACTAAAGCGAGAGAAGACGGCTACAAACTTCCCTCCTCGGCAACGCCAAGGTAAACCCGGAACCCGCTGCCTCTGAAGCTGAGACCCGACCCATCCCACCAGCACACACGGCTAGGTCCGCCGACCTTCATACACACGCACGCACGTGTCGTGCGTGCTGCTCACGTGACGGCTTTTCGCTAACCCCTCATTCCCCCCGCCCCCTAGCGGTCTCTGGTTGGGACCCGGAGCCTGCGCCTTGCCGGTGTCTGACTGCCCCAGAAGGGGAGGTTGAATAAAGTTTGTTTATTCAAAACAAAGCGTGCTGTCTGTTTGTGGGCGGGGAGGGGGCGGAGCTTGACGTCGCGACCGGTGTCTTATAACTCGTCACAGACCGCGCCTCCTCATCTTTTCTTCGGGTACTCGCCCAGCACCCCGCGGCGGAGGGCCAAGTTGAAGGAGCCGAGTCGCGATGGATTTGCTTCCCCCTCAAATGTCGGCCAAAGATGAAGGGTTCGTTTATCTTTACTCTCTCTTTTTCAGTCCCCTTGCTCCCCCACCCTTGCCCATAGAGAGGGTCGGGCCCTTGACCCCGAGCAGAGCTTGGCCGGTAGCGGAGCGAAGGGGAGAGGATGCGTGCCCCCTCTGGTTCCCAAGCAAAAATTGAGCTGGCATGAGCTCCAGCACAGCGCTGTGTGACTTTGGGCAAGTGCCAGCCTCTCTGGACCTCATTTTGAAGCGCCTCTTTTGAAAAGTTTTCTTTTTCTCCCCTTCTTCCTGCTGGTGGGGTTCTTAGGTTACAGTGTTGTAAAACTCCTGTTACTTTACCAGACCACTTTTCTGAAGTTATTCCCCTTAGTAGAAATAAGTAGATGTAGATGCGATGTAGGGCAAAGAAAATTGGAGGGAAATGTAGGAGACCTAGGTTCTAGTTCTGCCTCAACCGTCCACATAGCTGTGTGACTTTGGGTAAGTCACAACCTCGTCAACACAAGCTTGGGTTATTATTATTGCAGTAGCCTGCTGGTGGGTCTGCCTGCCTCGAGTCTCTCCCTACTCCTGTCCATTCTCCATACAGCCACCAAAGTGATTTTCTTAAATCACAGATCAGACCTTGTCATCCCCCACCTCAGCGAACTCCACTGGCTCACTGTGCCTGTGGGATCAAATATAAGACCCTTTGTTAGGCATTCCAAAGCTTTCATCATCTAGTACTCCCAGCCTCCCCAGTTTTCACTGTCTCCCAGACATCTGGACTGGACATCTTTTCAGGCTGTCCTCCATACTGGAATGCACTTCCTCCTCATTTCTGCTCACTGTTTTAACAAGTAAAATTCCATCTTCTACAGGAAACCTTTCTCAACTCCTCTTAAGTCTAGTGCCTTCCTTCTTTCGATTCTTGACTATTTTACTTGCATATGTCTTATTCATACAGGTTGTTTGCTTGCTTGTTATCACTCCTTAGATTGTGAGCTTGATGGCAAGGATGTTCTTTTGCCTCTTTTTGTATGGCAGTGCCTGGCACATAATTGGTGCTTAATATTTATTGAGTGACTTGAAAACCTCTCCCCGTGTCAGTTTGAAAATGCAATTAAGTTAAGTCATTTATGAAGTTCCTTGTTGCAATACAATTACATGTTCCTGTAAAAATAATAACGGTGAACATTTATAATGTCTTAAACTTTTGCAAAGCATTTAAAATATATTACTTGATCCTATTTTCTCTGAAAAGTTGGAGCAATCATATGCATATTCATTGTATTCATAACTTCTATCTTTTAAAATAACTTAAATTTTTTCAAATGATTATTAATAACCAATATCTTAGAGATTCAGAGTTTCCCCCAGACCCCTTCTTCCAGAGTCCTGACTTTAAGTTCAGTTTTTCTTCAGAAGGACATTACTGATAATGAGATTGCATTGACTCCTGACCCTGGTCAGCCCCAAACCAAGCTTGCAAGTAATTTAATCTAAAGTAGAGAAGCCCGTTGTGTTTACTCATGTTTGGCTGGAGACAGATTCTTTTGTCTAGATGGGCCAAAGTTGGGAGTGGTCTGGTATAGCTGGGGGTGGCATTTTACTCTCTCCAGGGGTGAAATGATGATGGAGTGACACCTGCCCCTGTTGGAAGGGTATATAATGTGTTCACCCTAAATTAAAAGTGAGCTCAGTTCCAAACTGGCTCCCATGCATGGGTGCATACATGCCACCCATTTTGAGAGAAATAAACACAGGTACAACCTAACTCTGAGGGAAAAAAAATTATTTTCAGAACTGTGAAAGAGTGAAGATAATGTAATGGGTATTTATTTAAACACAATGACCAGAATTATCTCAAAATCATTTTCAAAATGGCATTTGCATACTACTCTAGTTTCCCTAATTTATATTCAACATCCTTATGAAATATTATTGTAATTGTAGGCCTAGAGGGTGTCTCAGGGCATCTTGTCAGGGAGACCATTATCATTATGTGTTCCAACCAACGACTTATTTTACAGATGGCAAAAGAGAGGCACAGGAAGGTTTGGTGACATGACCAAAGTGTTACAGGTAGTTCACGTCTCATTGTCCTTCTCCAGTTTTATAGATAAAGAAACTGAAGTTAAAACAGCTTAAAGATAGTGACTTGCTCAAGGTTAAGTGGCTGGGTCTTCAAAGTCTACATCCAGTGTAGTACAGGATGAAAAAATAGAAGATGTGTAATTGAAGCAATCCTAAACCATTTAAGTGAGTCTTTGAAAAAAAAACATAGGAAAGGGGAACATAAAGACTGTAAGTCAGGTGCCAGAGTTTTAGAGAAAGGGAAGAGAGGTCTGCAAAACAACTCTCCAGCCTCATAACACCTTTATATACCCTCTGCTTCAGCCAAACTGGCCTTTTTGCTATTCCTCCATCTCCCATGACTTTGCATGTGCTGTCCCTCATGTGTGGAATACAGTTGTGCTCCCCTTCTACTTAGAAAAACTAGTTTTTCAAGAATCAGCTCAAGCACCATCTTCTTCATAAAGCCTTGTATTTGCCCTCTCTTAACTTCTATTTAATTTATTGTGAACATTTTTTTCTATATATCCCCAGTATTTAGTGCAGTGCCTTGTGTTGATTAATTGAAGTAACATATACATATGAATTAACATATGCTCTGATACTTGGAGTTTTTTTGTTTTTTTGTTTTTTTGGAGACAGTGGGGATTAAGTGGCTTGCCTGGGGTCACACAACTAGTAAATGTCCAAGGTGGAATTTAAACTTGGGTCCTCCTGACTCCAGGGGCCTGTGTTCTTCCCAATGCCCCATCTAACTGCTAGGGAGATTTTAATGCAGAGGGAAGAAAATTTAATTTGGGGAGAAAGATATGGGAAAGGATGGTCCAGGAAGAAGAAACAAAAGAGGTCAAAGATTTGTACATGGATCAGTATTGTGATTTTTTTTTTTAAAGAAGTGGTAGGTCCAACAATTTGCAAGAGAAATCTGGAATTATGCCTAAAGAGTTATAAAACTTTATATACTCTCTGATCCAGAAACAAGTTGTGGTATGTGATTGTGATGGAATACTACTGTGTTGTAAGAAATGATGAACAGGCGGATTTTAGAAAAACATGGAAAGACTTGTGTGAAATAATGAAGAGTGAAATGAGCAGAATGTTGGATCTAGTAACAACAATATTATTTGAAGAATAATTATGAAGAATAACTATGAATGACTAGGGCTATTCTAAGTATTATAAATATTCAAATTAACTAAAAAGCACTTATGAAGGAAAATGCTGTCCACCTCCAGCCAAAAAAGTGATAAATAGAAATATGCATAGTATGGTTTTACATATCTGTATGTGTATGTATGTATATATATATTTGTGTCAAATTGTGTCTTCTAGTTCAGGGTGGGGAGGGAGGGAGACAGCTTGGAACTTAAAATGTCACTGAAAATTAAGTTCAATTTAAAAAAAAAGAAGTGGTAGGTGGATAAGTCAGATGCCAGAGTTTCAGAGAAAGAGAAGTGTCTCTCCAGGGTGAGTATGGTGCAGTTTGGGGTGCTGGGAACCCCAAAATGTAAGGGTGGGGAGGTCTAACAGAAAGGAATTCAAGCACTCAAGCCTTCTTTCAGTCAAAATAGGAAGGTTTATTGTTTTAGAGCCAGCGAGGTTTCTAGTGAATCTGGAACTTAATGGAAGTAAGATTGGTATTTATACACAAATAAAGGACAGTGAAAAGATCTGGATGGGATTTAAGAGTGGTAAATAGCCTGGGGTGAACCAGGTGCCATAGTGAAAGGAGTATTAAGTAGTCTGTGGTGGGCCTAGAGCCACTGTGAAAGGACTGTCAAGTACCTAGGTGCCTTGGGCAAGACAAGTGATCTGTGCTGCAGATTTATATGGGAAAATTCAGGGACTGTGTTGCTTTCAAAGTCATTGGCTTTTCCTTTTGGGGGTTCAGGTCCAATCACACCATCAGGGAAATGAATGGCACATCAGGGATAATAGTATAGCCAGAATAAGTTTCTACTGAAGAGAGCTTCATAGAATCTTGAATTGTTGAATGACTTGAGTGAGGCTTGCAGAGTATAAGAGTTTGCAATTTGTAGTGGAGTTTAAGAAATATGCCAATTCTACCCGAGAGTATGGAAAGGTAGAAGATTGAGCAGCCAGTATTTGGGGAATACCAGAGATCCAGAGTCCTTGGGAAAGGCACATTTCAGTTAATGCAAGGAATGTAAAAGGAAGAGATTGAGCATAAAGGGGAGTTTAATAGTGGAATGGGTGAGCCAAAGGGCATAAAGGAAAGAGCAAGTAGGGAAAAATGGGTGTTTTGAGGTAGGTAATTAGGGCTAGGTCAATAGGAATAAAAGTACTGGGGGACAATATATAGAAGAAGGAATTTGCTTTTAGATCGGTGTCTCTGGATGATTACATTTGGGAGTATACATGTTACCCATAAAGATATGGAAGTACCAAGAAGACAGGTCATTGGAGATTTGCATCTCTTATACACTTGCACAATTAGCTAAAATAGTAGTAAGAAAATGATTAGTTCTACTAGATTCTAAACTCTTAAAGCAGGGACTTTAAAAAAATTTAAATATTTATATCCTCGGTACATTTTATGTAATAAAAATTTGATAAATATTTGCTGAAATAAATTGACTAGCATACCATTCAGCTCTTACATTTTACTACTATATCTCAAAATAGTGTACATTGACATACTAATAATGACATATCAAGTATGTGAAAAGTAATTGTGAAGTGGAGATATATTTTGTAAGTGAAGGGATACCAGATCTATTACTGTTAATATTTTATTATCACTAAATAACATACTAGTGTGTATTACCTCTCTCTTTTTTAGATCTTTTGCATATTTTACAATGAAAAACCGAGCACCACAGATCCTAACAAATGTCATCAATGCATTGCAGCAACATAAAAATGATTTCTTTCAGAAGCTTGGAGAGGTAAGGGTTGTATGTTTAATAATTATCTTTTTGATTAGCCATTAAATAGGAACCTGGCAAATGTTGCTAAATAAGTCTTTTGATTTCAGTCTTCTCTTTTAATAACAGATGTAATGATACTGATCTGTTTTTATTAAAGTCTTACAAATGGTGATTAGTTTCTAAGATTATGCCATAACAGCCTGTTTATCCCATAACGTAGCTGTATTGTAACTCTTAGTATTGGCCCGAGTTCTGACTGGTGGGAACTTCCTTCTGCCTCCTTTTTAATATCCTTTCATTTCCCAGTATCTCTCTTCTCAGGCTCCAACTGCTCTCATGATTCACTAAATATGCTAAGGATCATTGAGTTAGAACTGGGAGGGACCTTAGAGACCTCTACTTTAATACCCTCTTTTTTTAGATGAGAAAAATCTCTGAGAGGTTAAGGACTTTTCCAGGATCATGATGCTTACGGGATCATCTTCCTACCCCTTCTAATATACTCATTGAAAATCCCAAGTTGGAACTCTGAACGCATATTTTTCTCCATAGAAACTATTTTATGTGGTTTTATGATGTTTTATGTGGTAGTTATTATATAGTGCTGTTGGTAAAGTAAATGTACAGTGAGTATTTTTCAAGGTTATGTCCTGGGCTTTCTTCTCTTTGAAACTCTTATGCTAAGCTGTTTTCTTTATGAGATTTTCCTCTAAAATTATCATTTCTTTTCTAGTTCTTTCTTTTAGCACTCTCATTTCATTCATTATATCATTTTTAAACCCTTGCTTTACTTCTTCTAAGAATACTAATTGAACTTGTAGTGCTTGTACGTATTTTGGAGTTACTCTTTTCTGGGTTTGGGTCTTAAGTATTCCTAATGCCATAATATCTCTTTATTGTGGCAGTCTTTTTAATTTTCATTTTTCATCCTTACTTCCCAGACTGGGACTTTTGGGTTAGGGCCAGGTTCTAGGTACAGCTGACAGGACTGTCATGGCCTAGTTTGTCCCAGCCTTGGATTATCTGAGAACCTATTACTTTTCTGGGAAATGAAGGCTCTGTTTTTTAGGAATTATAAGGGGTGGCTTGTATGGGAACTGCCAACTTTCATTGTTCTTCATGCAATCTGATTTAAAACATGTCAGATGCCCTCTCCACTTCTATATTTCTCATCAGGAAAGAATTATTAAGAATTTTTTTTTTTAAACCTCACAGATGAACCATCCTTTTTCATGACAAAGTATGCTTCTTCTTGATAGATAAACAATTTTGGGGCACAGGCCAGTTTCTCTCTCTTTTTTTGGGGGGGAGCATATTGCATTTTGGCCTCTAATTCCTTCTCCTTATTGAACCTTTCACAATTTGAGTTGATTTTTGCTGATAATGTAAATTGCCTTCTCCTGGATGTTTATGAGTTCTCTCTTGACATGGTAGCTCTAGATTTTATCAGCTCTGTTTCTGAGTTAGTTAAATTAGGTTTCTGTTCTTCATCTCTTCATTTTTTGTTCATCTCTACCCCTCAGAGAATTTACTACTTCTTTGAGATTTTCCCCTGTCCTTTCAACATTATCAATTGTTATTTTCATAGTCTTGTATTCTTCCTTTAGTAACAACAGTCTTAAGAGCTACCAGATATTTCCTTATATCTCCTAGAGAGACAATGTAGTATAATGGACAGTGTTGGTCTTGGAATCAGGGTACAAATTCTGCCCTAGGCAAGTCACTTAAATGACTGCGTTGTATTTTCCTCATAGTATAATACCTGTGGTTCCCTATTTCATCAAGTTATTTTGAAGCCAAAGATGAGATACTTTATGTAAAATGCTTTGTAGACTTTAAAGTTCTATATAAAATCCTATATAAATGTAAGTTATTAGTGCGATTCTAAATCTCTGGAAGTTTCTAGCATATTTCGTCCTCTCTTCTAGGGGTATAGTTGCTAATATTGTAGTCTTTATTTTCTTACAGTTATTTCCTTTTGCTTTCTTTTATCCCATAGTATCTATTCATTGGATTTGTTTTTCTTTTTTGCTTATATTGTACGGTCTTTCCATTAATCTTCTAGTGATTTATTTCCTTTTATTCTCTTATTTGTCACATATCTTTGAGGGAGACGGCGCCAGGTTTCATCCCAGACACACAATTCACTATCTTGGTTACTACCATCTGGTACTTATGTATATTTATATGAAAACTGCACAAATAGGAACTGATTTGGAACTTCGGAATTCTAGATTGGAACATGGTTCATTCTAAACAGCTTTTGGCAATTGTAAAATCCAGGACCCTCAAAAAGCAATTTTGTTTTTTGAGTTTCAGGTGCTTAAAAACATAATTTAATATGAATACAATTTGTGAAAGGTATTTTTTCTTCTCTTTTCCAGGTAGGCACTGGAGCAGAAAAGAAATTTATCTCTCTTCTTTCTAAGTTACTAAATGAACTACAAACTGATGAACCATTACTACCTTTGACTGATAACTGCATTGATACTGATATATGGAACCAATACCTGAAATATCACCATAGTCTTTTAAATGAAAACAATAAAAAAATAAGCTGGTTTCAGTCTCCTTGGTTGTATGTAGAATGTTACATGTATCGTAGAATTCATGAAGCGTTAATGCTAAGGTAAGTTAATATCTTGTCAAAAACTGCTTGGACCTATAAAAACTAGGTGGTTGGATTGTATTAGTGGGAATATAAGTGAGTTTCAGGAAGTTTTCAGATGCATATTTCTTTAAAATTATGTCATAAATATATTACAACTGTGCTATGTTTCACTGAAAGGTTTATACTTTGAGACTGTGCCTGGCATTCCATTTTAAAATTCTTGTAAATATTGATTACTTTGCTTATTTTGTATTAAAGGTTTATTTTCCGACAGAGTCCAAATTCATAGCTTTTGGCCAAATGTCAATGCAAGACTTAGAGTATAGATACAATCTGACTTTTTAAAATAATTAAACATAAAAGCAAAACAGTAAATTTATTTTTTTTTTGGTTTGTTTTTGTGTTGTTTTTTTTTTTATTTTTAGGCAGTTGGGGTTAAGTGACTTGCCCAAGGTCACACAGCTAGTGAGTATATGAAGTGTTTGGTCAGAGGCCGAATTTGAACTCAGCTCTTCCTGACTTCAGGGCTGGTGCTCTATCTACTGCACCACCTAGCTGCCCCCAAAACAGTAAATTTCTAACAGTAAAAAATAGGCAATGTTTCAGCATTCATTTCATGAAAGAAAACATCAGACCAGTACATCACTGTGTCATTTTCATTGTACTGTCTGAAGTCCAGCCACTCCAAAAAAAAAAAAAATACTAGAAGTCGTGACATCTTTCACATTTGTTAATGTTTCCTATTTCCCAGCACCCTGGTTCAAACCTTCTTCCTGCTTCCATTCTCTTTCTTATCCATCTTTATTCCTTTCCAGAATATCTGGAAGTAGCAGAGTATCTGAAAACAGTATCTGAAAAGTATCTCATGGACGTTCTGGCTAATCACCCCTTTGGTCACATGTCTTCATGCTATTGCCTTCTGAATAAAATTCTTTTGTTTACTCTTCACATTCCTTCCCACAACCTTGTTAACATTTGTTCCTTTTGAGCCTTAGCAGAAAGTACTGTCTTTCATGTTCTCTGTGCTGTATATGTAGCCAAACTGGACACCTTGCTGGGCTCTTCTCTGCCTTTGCATCTCCCCCACTGCCAAGCATAGTACTCTGCATATAGTACGCTCACTATAAGTAAACAAATACAGTATATAACATGGTTTACAAAATGATTTACATGTTATCTCATTTGCTTCTTATAACAACTCTGTGAGGTATGTCAGTTTTACAGATGAGAAAACTGAGGCAGAGAGTGTTTAAGTGACTTGTCCAGGATAACACAGCTAGTAAGTGTTCTGTTCTTCCTGGTTCCAAGCCCAGCACTTTCTAGTATACCATCTTGTTGATGTTGAGAAGAGTCTGGTCTCATATCTAACTTTTTTTTCACACAGCTAATCCTAATTTCTGCCTTTGATGTTTTTTTTCCTGTTGTTAAAGTGCTTTACTCATGGACTTCAAAGAATTTAGATATTCAATGGAGTCTACCCTTTCTCCTTCATTATTAAATTTTGTTGGCTATAATTAATTTGCTCCTTAGCTTGCAACATTACTCATCAAACCATTTTCTAAATGATACTATAGATTCACATGTTCATAATTGACATGACAATCTGCAGTGCTGAGTGAACAAGTAAAAAAATTTTAAAGGAATCTTGTGTTATTGATTCAGAGCTCTTTGAAGGAATGAACTAAAGAGATGGGAGTTCAGTAGACTTGTTTATATTTTGACCCTAGACTATTTGGGGGGTGAGGATGGAAACTACTATCCTTTAGCATTTCTGTAGGGCCTAATGGACCAACATTAATTTTGTAATGGTTATTTATCTGTAAGTCAGAGGTGAGAATCAAAAATTTCTTAGTCATTTATTGTAAGAAGTACTTTTCAGATACTGAAAAGTGACAACAGAATGTTATTTTGAATTATATAAACAAATAGAAAATAAGTTAAACATGCAAACGGATTTTTTTTTCAAAGTCACATTGAGAATTAATATACTTATTCTAGTCATACTGTCATCACCAAAAACATTGTGAAATTCCTCTTTTGGAATTGCCTTCAGAACAGCTTATGAGTCGTACAAGAAAAGTCTCACTATCTTATGGTCATGCCTCAATTTTGAAACAAGATGGTATTACTCAGTTCGATCCACCCTGCCTTATTTACCAGACTTGGCTCCAAAGGACTTTGGCTGTTTTCCAGAAATTAAATCTACCATCAGAATATGAAGATCTGCCACCATTGAAAATATTCAAAAGACTGTGTCATGGGCTCTGAAGAAAGTACCAAAAGAGGAAGTTCAAAAAGTATTTTGAGCAATGATAACATCATTGGAATAAGTATATATTTCTCCTAATTTGACTACTTTGAAGGAGAAAATATTCATTTAGATATGAGAGGGGAAGACTCTCAGGGTTTTTGGCCAAAATAGAAACAGTTGCTATTTACATTGAGTCTGAGCCAATCATGGCCAACAGTGATCAAAAAGGGTTTCCACTTGTACCTATTGTTGGCCAGTGTATGAGAGCCTGAGTGATTTGGGGTTAAGGTTGGTCTTTAAGAAAGGAAAAAAAACAGGTTGCAGAGATTAAAATTTACTTTCCTTTTGGGCAGAGCACCTGCTGGTAAGGGGTGTGAATACCCTACATGGACTGAGGGAAGGGAAAGAAAGGAAAGAGAAAGATATATTGCCCAACTGGCCACTTCCAGTTTGGTCCCCAGTGGGCAGTTCCTTTTTTACTCATGGAGGTTGTTGTTTGTCCTTCCATTCTTGAAGAGGACATGACCTCAGGGAGGTGATGCCATGACATGCAAGTGAATTGGACTTAAGTGAGGGAGGTTTGTGCAAAGTCACTAGCATCACTTTCTCCTCTAAAGCCATTTGGGTCCAGTGGCCAGATTTTTTTTTTCTTTTTGACCAGGTAAAAAGGCCATTCTCTGCCTCATTTCTCATTAAGCCTTAATCACTGAATGGTCATTGCCTTGGTCAACCTGAGTCCTGTTAAAGACCCTAGCTTGAAAAGGCCGAGGTCTCTACATCCTGGGCCATTTCCAGTTGTCCTGATCTATGTCTGGCCACGGGACCCAGATGGCTCCAAAGGAGAAAGTGAGGCTGGTGACTTTTTTAAATCCAATTCACTTGCATGTCTTGGCATCACCGCCCTGATGTCATGGTCCTCTTCAAGAATGAAGGACAAACACTAACAGCAACTCAAATCAGTCACATTACTTCCTTGTCACAACTTATACGCCATAAACTTTCAATTTTTCATCTGAATCTAAAGGGGGATCCATAGTATGGATAATTAAGGAATAGAAGATAACCCCCAAATCTTTTGTACTTGACTTTGAAATATCAACATTTTTTTTCTTCAGATTTAGCTTTCTATTTATTTTCTTTGGTTAACACTAATCTTATTTCTCCATAATCTGTTATGAGATGGCCCAGGAAATAATTGATGTCAAGCATGGGGATGAGGAGATGGGAGTAACCAATTTGGAATTTTAAATTTTTCAAAGATAACCTGCCCGTGGGTAATCAAAACTTGACCGTATAATGAAATTAAGGCAGCTAGGTAACCAAGTAGATAGTGTTGGATTTGGACTCAGGAAGACCCCAGTTTGAATTTCTCCTGGAAGACTTAAGTTTTCTGACAGTGGGCAAGTCAGTTAACCCCTTTCTGTCTTAGTTTTCTCATCTGTGAAATTGGAATTATAGTAGCACCCACTCACAAGTTTTTATCTGAAGAACTTGGCAAACAAGGAGAAAACACCAAATTACTCAATATTTTATATTGGGAAAGGGCTGTGATTTGTCAGAGTAAGTTTTTAGGATTATCCATAGAAGATTTCAGTTTTCAAGAAGTTTTATGTTTCTCAGCCTTTATTAAGTTTAAGATTTGACTATTGAATTACTAGAATAATATTAACAACTTTAAAATATAGCATCGTGATTATTTTTACACTTTGTTTCTGATTATTTTTACACTTTCTGTTTTGTCCCCATTTTTAGTTCACCATCCAGTGACTTGGATGTGTTTAAAGAACCAAAAGAACAGAATTTCTTGGAATCACAGGAAGCTATTAGGAGTTTATGTAGTTACCTAGAAGGGTTAAATAAGATTGAAAACCTAGACGAAAATCAACTGAAGGATGAGTTTTTTAAACTCTTGCAGGTAAATGTTACTCTGTTCTCTCTTCTTCCGTATGTATGTGTGTGTGTACATATATAAATATATATAATACAAATATTTATTTATTTCTAGTTATAAAAATTAATAATTTTTTACATATTTATAAATATATTTAAATTTGCCAAGTCATTTAAGGCCAATCGTACATATTTAGAATGGAAAAACAAAAGAGGTTCCTGACTTTAACCTCACAATTTAATAGATTTACATCTTCATTTCTCAAGTTTGTCTGATAATACTCAATCTGAAAGAACGATACTTCAGGAGTTGAATTTTATACATATGACAAGTTCCAACATTAATTTTAACTCTTGCTTGGGCCATGGAATCACTATAAATTCAGATCAAAACAGCAAGATCTTTCCTACTTATAACTCATTGCAGTTATTTAGATGCTTTAGTATTAATCACTAGCCTTAGATCTCTCATTGCTTCCATTGAGCTTCTGACTCTGTTTCTCTGAAAGCACCCATTTAAGGTTTGTCCAAGGATACAACAAACCTAGGAACGAAACTTAGAAATTTATAATAGGTTTGGACATAATTGTTATTAATATCAACTTATTATCACAATAAATTAGCTTGCAAATGAAAATTTAGTAGGCCTTCAAAACACAAAAGTAAATTTGTTCGAAACCTCTAAAGTGATAGATATCTCTCTTACTAGACCCTAAACCAAAAGAAATCTTTAACTTTGGAATTTATCTGGACAAAGAAAATAACCACCACCAGTTATACCAGACACTCCCAGCCTTTGCCCCTCTAAACAAAAGGATCGGTCTCTAGCCAAGCTTGAGTAGATTACAATGGTTTTCCTTACTTTAGATTAAATTACTTGCTAGCTTGGGTAGGGGCTGACCAGGATAAAGAGAGTCAGTGCAATCTCATTATCAGTCATCTCCTTCTGAAGAAAAACTGAACTTAAAGTCAGGACTGTGGAAGAAGGGGGCTGGGAGAAGCTCTGAATCTCCAAGATGTTGGTTATTAATAATCATTTTTCACAATATACCCACACACACACATATATAATCTTATTCCCTTATTTCAAGGAGTTTATAATCTAGTTGTGGGGGGCGTTTTTAAAAATAAATAAAATAAGGGATTTACATAAAATTTCAAGATGAAATATTTTGAAGATACTGTCTAATAATATTGATAATTGAATATTGTAGGTAGTAAATGACTTAAAACTATCAGTCTTGGCAGAATACATTTTACATTAACCTGGAGTTCATTTTCCATTTTCATCTCAGATTAATATGCTTGTAACTACATCTGAATATATATCTGTGATCTTATTAGTGTGGATCCTCTTTGCATCAGTGCAAATTATAACCTAGCTATATATTGTTATCACATATAATTTACTCATATCTTCCCATAAACCCTCTATAGAAGAGGCGTCTACCCTTCTTTGATCCTTACTGTATTTTATACATACTAGTACAGTATGTGGGCTTGTTTAAGCTTCCCATTTTTTGCTACCAGTTTTGCTTAGTGCCCCCATACTACCACACTAGTCAATCAAAACCAAGGAGCAAAGGAGAGGGGAGTTTCCATGAAACTTTTATTTTTTTTTAATGTCCAGCATTACCGTGAAAGACTAGTATGATAGTTTACATTGACTACTGAGAGGCAGAGAACCTGAGTTCAAATCCCGCCTCAGATACTTAGTAGCTATGTGACCCTGGGCAAGTCACTTAACCACAATTGCCTCCAACAAAACAAATACATGGGATATTGAAAATTAACTTTTTGTTTGTTTGTTTTAAGGCAGTTGGGGTTAAGTGACTTGTCCAGGGTTACACAGCTAGTAAGTGTCAAGTGTTTGGTCTGAGGCCGGATTTGAACTCAGGTCCTCCTGACTCCAGGTCCAGTGCTCTATCCACTGTGCCACCTAGCTGCCCCTGGGTTTTTCCTTACAAACAAAACTACTCAATTCTAATTGAAATGGTCTACAATGATAAAGTATTAATACCATTGTGTGTTACTTTATTTTTGTTGGAGGTAGGTTTAGGAGTAAATAGAAATATTTTTAAAATAATATTTTAAACAATTAGTTATTTGAGCCTTTTAAAAATTGTTTTAATCAGTTTTCAGTATCTTAACAACTGCTCAGAACAAATAAATGGGGAAAATTTTGCTTTTCCACAGTATAGCAGTGGATTGACTGGCTGGATTTTTTCTTTTGAGTCTGTTTTTCTAATTTCAGAACAATTAGTTCAAAAGTGAAAAATGCCATCAGTCAAACTGAAATATTGTCGATGGCATAGCAAAACCATTCTTCATGTGAAGATTAGTTAATGTCACCTTTGAATTGTATGGGGGAACCATCATGTCTTTTGCCACTAAAGATGTAGCCTTTGAAGTATTTGAATTTTTTTCTAGCTAATGAACAACAATTATTTTGTACTTTTTTTCAGATTTCGTTATGGGGAAATAAGTGTGATCTGTCACTTTCAGGTGGTCAGAGCAGCTCTCAGACATCTAGTCCACTGACTGTTTTGGAAGACCTGAAACCTTTCATTTTAGTGAATAATATGGACTACCTTTGGTCACTACTTATAAACAGAAAGAAAATGAGGCAGGAGACATTTTCTGTTACTAGAGTGGATTTTGTCCTGGATAATGCAGGATTTGAACTTGTTACAGATTTGGTAATGGCAGACTTCCTGTTAGCATCTAAGCTGGCTACTGAGATCCACTTCCATGGAAAAAGTATTCCCTGGTATGTTTCAGATACTAATAAAAATGACATAAATTGGGTGATTGAACAATTAAAAGCTGCTAATACCAAGTGTATGTCTGAGTGTGGGATTAACTGGGAACACTATTTTAAAAAGCATTCATGGGTTTACCACGATCATATGTTTTGGACTCTGCCTTATGAGTATTGTGCTATGTCTCAGGTTGCTCCTGACTTGTATGCTGAACTACAGAAGTCAAATTTAATTCTTTTCAAAGGTGATTTGAACTATAGGAAATTAGTAGGAGACAGAAAATGGGGGTTTACTGTTCCATTTCATCAGGCTTTGAATGGCTTCCATCCGGCACCTCTCTGTAGCATTAGAACAGTAAAAGCTGAAGTTCAGGTTGGTCTGGCACCTGGGCAAGGGGAACAGGTTGCAGTTACTGATCCTCAGTGGATGAACATTGGAAAATATGGTGTATTTCAGTTTGATGGGCACTTTGATTTGGCTTAGGGGATTTTTAAACCTTCAAAGAAAAACTCTAACATAGCACATTTCCTTCCCACAAAAGTAATTTTAAAATTTTACTACATTGAGGGATTGGGGTTACCTTTTGAAAGCTTACCCTTTCAGTTGTTTTTATGTACTGATGTTGCTGATTAAGGTTCTTTTAGGTTTAGCTGCTTTGGGAGTCTTAAAAGACATTTCATTTCTTATTATTCATTGAAGTTTTATGTCTATCCATTATTTCAAGTGGTTCAAAGAAGCTACTTAAGATAAATGTAAAAATTGTATTTTGCTTTTATAGCTAAATACACTTAGATTTCCATATAATTATTGCCATTTGAAAGTATAGTAAGCTACATGTTATTTAATATTTTGGGAAATGTTGACATTGTTTTTATGTTGCATCTTATGGTGGCATAAATTTTAATTTATCTGCCCTTAGGGTGAATTTCTTTAAATTGTGATGTTTGAACCACGGGAAAGTAGAAAATTAACTTGAGGCAATTCCTTTTGTACTTGAATTTCTTAATGATAGTAGCCTGCATTCATATGCGTTCTTTGTTCTTTATGCATGCATTTCATTTTTTTTTAATAAAGTTTGTTGAATTACCAAAAAAAAAATTAAACAGACTGGGAACGATATGTATTATTGAAGAATGTGACTTCTTTTTCATGTTTATGAATTATATCCATGAAACTAAGAGATATTTTGATGAAATTGTCTTTGTAAATGAACAAATTGCTTTTCTGGAATTTATGTTCTACCTGCTAATTGGTTATAATAGACTTTGCTCCTGATTGAAATAGCATTTATTCTCATGCTTTGAATTTGGAAGGATATCTTAGTTGTTTTAGAAAGTATAACCACTTTACCACATTGGTTTGAAAAAATACAACTGAATTTGTTTTCTGGGGCTTTGCTAATAAAATAAATTACATTAAAATTCCATTTGGTTTTGTTTTCCATACAAGAGAGTTAAAAATAGACAGTTAAAAAACCAAATCAATACAGGGAACTAATAATGCATCAGAAACACAAAAGCAGATCTTATACAATACAATTTCCATGAGATTGGTTTAACTTCCTTTCTTCCTACATAGCTGAAAAACAAATTCTGCATCAACACTATATATGTAAAATAATATCTAATTTCTTTCTTCTCTGTATATTTTCATTTATGTATGGTTCTTTTCAGAGATAAGTTATTGTGCAGTATATTACATTTTGTTAAGAGAATAACCACAACAGCAGCTTTTAACAGTTTGGTTAAACGAAGTATAATACTTAGAATGAACTTGAAAACTATGAAGTTATTTTTTACTTTACAAACTTCAAAGTTTTCTGAGTTTGCCAATTTCTAAACAATATAAATTGTTATAATAAAATTTGCATTTGACAAAATAGTATTTTCCTGTTCCTAAGTTATGTAGCATGTGGCATGACCTTGGTTCTTTTTAAATAATCTTATTGACTCAGTTCTCTATATATTTTAGAAATGAGTCCTTTATCAGAGACTCTGGTTGTAAAAATTATTTCCCGGTTTTCTGTTTTCCTCCTAATTTTGGATGCATTGGCTTTGTGCAAAAACTTTTCAATTTAATGTAATCAAAGTTATCCATTTTGCATGAGTCAAATTTATAAAAATACAAGTCATTCCCCAATTGACAGTCAAAGGATATGAACAGGCAGTTTTCAGAGAAAGAAACTAAAACTATAGTCATATGAAGAAATGTTCTAAATCACTATTGATTAGAGAAATGCAAACTCTGAGGTGCTACATCACACCTATCAGATTGGCTAACATGACAAAACAGGACATTGATAAATGTTGGAGAAGATGTGGGAAAATTGGAACACTAAGGCATTGTTGAAGTGGTGAAGTGATCCAACCATTTTGGAGAGCAATTTGGAACTCTGCCCAAAGGGCTATAAAAATGTGCATACCCTTTGACCTAGCAATAGCATTTCTAGGGCTGTATCCCAAAGAGATCATAAAAACGGGGAAAGGACCCACATGTACAAAAATATACCAGCTCTTTTTGTGATGGTGAAGAATTGGAAATTGAAGGGATGCCCATCAATTGGGGAATGGCTGAACAAGTTGTGATATACGAATGTAATGGAATACTGTTGTGCTATAAGAAATGATGAGCAGGCAGACTTGAAAAAAACCTGGAAAGACTTGTATGAACTGATGCTGAGTGAAATGAGCAGAACCAGAACATTGTACACAGTAATAGCCACATTGTTGCGATGACTGACTTTGATAGAGTTGGCTCTATACAGCAATGCAAGAATCTAAGACAACTCCAAAATACTCACAATGGAAATTGCTATCCACATCCAGAGAAAGAAGTATGGAATCAGAATGCAAATGGAAGTATAGTATTTGCTCTCCTTTTCCTTTGTTTTGTTTTATGGCTTCATTGTCATGGTTCCTCCCATTAGTTCTAATTGTTCTTTACATCATAACTAATGGGAAAATATGCTTAAGATAAATGTAGCAGTAGAGCCTATATCAGGTTGCACGTCTCTTGGGCGGGGCGTAGGGGAGAGGAGAGGAAAGGGAAGAAAATTAAAACTCAAAATCTTGTGGAAGTGAAAGTTGAAAACTAAAAATAAATTATCAAAACAAAAATCTTATTGATGCTCTTTTCCTTTTTTTTTTTACAACACCGTCTTTTCCTATTATTATACCCTGCTTCAACTGACACCCTCTTTTGTCAGTATAGTCCCACAAAACAAATCAATACATTGCATATATCTGGATATGTATGCCCCATTTTGTACCTCTTATCATCAGACAGGAGGCATGCTTCATCATCAATCTTCTGAAGTCATGATTTCACCCTTGTTTTTTAAAATGTTTTAAAAACTTGACAAGCATTAACAGACATGAATTCTTACACATTAAAAAACAGGAAAAAAGTATATGAATTTGTGACTATATTAATGCAGTTTTGGGTTCTATCAACGCTGCCTTGCTTGTCTGTTTCTCTTTCTGAATTTCTTTTGTTTCATTGACAACCTTTTAGATCACTATCGCCCTCCCCTATTCTCTCTGTAACATTCTCCCCCACCCCACAAAACACTGTCTCATAATAAATAAGTTTTATGAAGCAAAACAAATACATATCTTTGCCAGGTCTGAAAATAGATGCTTTATTCTATACCTGTACTCTAGTGAAATATAAAATTTTTGAGCATGTATTCTTGATGTGTACTAATACAGTAATTGTACATTTAAAAATTGCAGAAATTAAAAGAATGAGATAAAGATGAAAAAAATATTTGATCTTACATAGGTAGCGATAAGTTTATTGAGTAGGGAATGTACTTTAGGAAATTCATTGGCAGCTGTGTGGAGAGTAGATTAGGGTGGGGAAGATTAGGAGCCTTGCAGTAGTAGTCCAGGTGAGAAATTAGGAGGGACTAACCTGGAATAGTGGTTATGTGAGTGGAGAGTGACAGACATGGGAGAGGAGGCACCTGATAGGATATGTGAATATAAGGTGAGGGAAAGTGTGAAGTCAAAGATGGCAGGTTATGAGAACCTGAGTGCTAGAAGGATGGTGGTGACTTTAACAGCAATGGAGACATTTGGAAAACGAAAAGTGTCGGGGGAAGGTGATGTAATGTTATTTGTAACCCATCTCTATCAATGGCTGGTCATCATTTATGACTCACTTTTTACCATGAAAATAAAAAGAACAGGGCCCTTACTGTCTCCAAAAGCGGAACTCTTTCCAAGGGGATATCTGATGGAGCCAGGAGGTGATATAGAGCGTGGCGATTAGTTAGATCCCTCAGAGTGGTCATAGTCTGACACCCTAAAGAAGGTAGGGGCAGCCAGGTGGCGCAGTGGATAGAGCAAAGGCCTTGGAGTCAGGAGGACCTGAGTTCAAATCCAGCCTCTGACATGACACTTACTAGCTGTGTGACCCTGGGCAAGTCACTTAACCCAGGTTGCCTCACCAAAAAGCAAAAAAAAAAAAAATTCCACAGTTCTTTACTTTTAAAGTTATGTTCCTTTATAGTATTGTAGTCATTGTCCAAACTGTTCCAGTTCTGCTCACTTCACTTTGCATCAGTTCACACTGATCTTGGGGTTTTTTTAAACCATCCCTATGTGTTAGATGATTAGTTGGACCCCTATTTTATTCCAATCAGTATTAATTGGTTTGATATGATTTCATAGGGGTTGTGATTATAAGTTCTGTATATTAGGCCCCAGAGCTGTGAACTACAGATTGTAAATTTACTTGTTTAATCATAGGAAGCATAGGACTTCCACCCTAGTTTTTCTTGGTTATAGAGACCAAGCCCAATGTAGCAGAAGTGACTCAATGACATGGAAAGTCCCCCAGCTATTTTTGTTGCCCCTCTGTCCGTTATCATCCATCTATTGCCAAACATGGGAAGATGGCCATGAGCACTGTTTGCCAGCCTGTGACCTGCCTGTCTATTGGCCCATTGGCCCATGTAGATGTTTTGATATCTGTTTATCAGCCCGGCCAATAAGTCTACTTGTCAGCTTGGTAGGACCTCCTGAAAGATCAAGATTCTACTCATTGGTTCATTTGTCAGTCAATCAGATTCTGTGTTTTGTGGAGACCCTTCTGGAGAATCAAGGTCAAGATCTATCAACCAATGAGACTCTGTATTTTACTGTGCCTCTTCTGTATCATCTGGGTATCAAGCACCATAAAATTAAGGCCCTAGAGGAAGGGGACATCTTACATTGTGAGGAAAATCTCAGGTCCACTCCATTATAAGGGTCCATGGACCCTTTAATAAAGTGCTAGAAGCTCAGAGCTCTGCCTCAGTTTCTTTTATTGTAGGTTGAACAATTTTGGACCCCACACCTATCATCATTTTTATGGTATTATAATATTCCATTTTATTATACCATAATTTGTGAAGCCATTCCCCAATCAATGAACAAATCCTCTTTTTTTCCTTTTCTTTGTTACAACAAAAGTATTATGTTTTGTATGGATGGATCCTTTCCGTCTTTGATCTCTTTGAGTTATGTGACTAGTAATGGGATTGATCAGTCAATGAGTAATACATATATTTAGCAACTTTTGGGGTACATTTCCAAATTTCCTTTTTTCATAGTTGAATTAATTCACAGTTCCACCAATAGTACATTAGTAAGTCTATCTTCCTCATATCCTCTCCAACAATTGTCATTTATGTTTTTTGTCATCTTCTCCAGTTTGATAGGTTTGAGGTGGACATTGTCTCATACTTCACCGAAAAAACTGAGAATATTCCCCCTTCATCCCTCCTTTCACACCACTCAGACATCTTCCTCCTTTATCTTGCACTCCGGTCTTAGATAAGGAGATGGTCTTTCTTCTTGATAAGGCAATCTCTTCTACAAGCACCCTTGATCCCATTTCCTCCTGACTTCTCTAGCAGATTTCCCTCTCTATCAGCCACACTCTCTAATCATCAATCTCTATTTACCAGCTCCTTCCTTACTGTCTGCAAGGCTACCTATGTCTTCCCTTTTCTTAAATACCTCCCTATTTCTCCTCCCCTTTGTGATTAGACTTGAAAATGCTACCTACACTCCCTGCCTCCACTCCCTCTCCTCTCTAGTAAACCCTTTGCAATCTGACATCTTATCCCATCATTCGGCTGAAACTGCTCCTCTCCAGAGTTGCCAACCCCTATCCTATACTATCTCACTTGATGATCTCATCAGCTCTTGTCCAATTATCATCTCTATGAAGATGATTTCTAGATCTGTATATCCAGGTATCTCCAGAGCTCCAGTTCCACATCACCTCCTCAATCCAGATGTCCCATAGGGATCTCAAAATTAACATAGCCAAATCAGAGCCCCAACAGAAGTGGCACTAGTAAATCCCCACACCCTGAAAGAACCTAAGTCTCTTGGGTGGCATAACTTGTCAGAAGTAATGACAATGGCAACA